AAAAAAGACAGAGTGAGGGGTGCCTGGGTGGCTCAGTTGGTTAAGCGACTGCCTTCGGCTCAGGTCATGATCCTGGAGTCCCGGGATCGAGTCCCACATTGGGCTTCCTGCTCAGCAAGGAGTCTGCTTCTCCCTCTGACCCTCCTCTCTCTCATGCTCTCTGTCTCTCATTCTCTCTCTCTCAAAATAAAAAAATAAAAAATTAAATTAAATTAAAAATTAAAAAAAAAGACAGGGTGTTGAAAGCTGCAGAGATTTGGAGAAGAAATCTGAGAAGCACCTGCTGAGTCCAGCAAGGTGGAAGTTTTGCGGGGCCCCCGGGGGAGCAACCTCATGGTGGAGTGGGATCAGGATAGCATGGGGGCTGAGAACGTAGTGATAGCCAAGGTGGACACTTTTCTGGTGAATGTTGTTGAAAAGGAGAGGGCTATACTTGGCGGGGCTGCAAGTCTGTGTGCTTCGCTTTCGTGCAGGGTCCACCCGCAGGATTGTTGTGGGGTCACAGCTCAGTGCAGTGGGTGCTGGCATTGAGGCCTCAGAGGCTAGCTCGACTCCTGGATGTCATGGATGTTGTGTGCTTTCTTGGGCCCTAGGAATGGGGCCCAGGAGTTCAGGTGCAGCACCAGCTTGGGACCAGTGTCACAGGAATGTCCCCTTCTGTGGCTCTCAGTTTGGACCTGCTTTGGGCAGGAGGCATGTCCCTACCCAAGCAACTTTGTTTTCTAGAGGGCCTGAGCTTTTCCGAGCACAGCACAAGAGGGAAGAGGCTGGGATGGTCTGAGCCGGTCTCTGTTACATCCAGAAGCCCCTTTCTTCATCCCCGGAGCTCCTACAGTCCGTCTTCCTGTCCCCAGCTCCCACTGCTTTTGTCTCTGGCCTGGTTGTTTGTCCACCAGGTGTCAAGGCCTTCCTTGACCATTCCCCTCCTGGGCCACCTGCTTTATTTGTCTCCATCAGACACATATTTGCCTTCTTTACATGTTGCCAGGCCCCTCACTAGAACATAAGCTTGGTGACAGCAGAGACTTTGCTGTGAGGAAATGACTCAAGTTGTTCCTCTATTCCAGTCCCTCCAGGTGTCACTGTGACAGCCAAAGTCAGTATTTGAGGGCCTGGGGGGGAGGGGGGCGCCGGCCAGGGGAGGGAGTGCTGGCCCAGGTGTGCGGGGAGCATGGGTCACCTGGCCCTCTCTTGGGGTCCTCAAAGTCCTCGCTGCTCTTGGATTCAGGCAAAGCCTGACTGGGTGCCTCCCTGTGCTGTTTAGGTAATGAGAAGTGGGTGTTGTTGGGGCCCAAGCATCAAAGCAAGGTTGAAAAGGGAAAGATTAAAGAAACCTAACCTGTAGGGTGCGACTGAGGCTGGAGAGGCGGGAGAAAGCTTACAGGAGGTGAGGATTGTGACACGGTACTGGGAGCCTGGACAGTCTGGGCTCGGAGCGCAGAGGAGAAGGGCTTGTGTGAACCTAAGAAAAGCTGTCCTCTGTGAAGAGATCCAGGCTTTTTGTTTTGTTTCCTTTTTCTCCTGGAATTGTCTTCTCAGAGGACAGCCGAGGAGGGAATTTTCTGCCTTGGGACGCGAACGACCTACGTCCTCGAACATAAGCAAAACTTTGCGTGCCCAGGGCTGCAGCAGCCCTCAGAGTCTGGGTAGTTGGTTTTGATGGCCTTTTACAGAAATCTTTCCCTGAAATCCCCTCAGTTCCACAGTTTCCCGGGGGGTCTTTACGAACCTTTGTGGGGCTTTGTCAGCATGGGCACGACTCAGGTTTGAGAATTTTCTTTGGCATTATCAGAAAACCGGGCACCAGGATTCTCATCCAATCACAGCAGAGACCTGGGGGATGTGGGGAAGGTGGGTTGGAATGGGAGGGTCTGGTAGCTTCGCGGAGGGAGGTAGAAGGCATGATCTCCTCAGTATGTTCTTCCCCGAGTTGTCTGGGAGCGCCCTCGGAAGCCCGACCGCAGTGGCCACTGTCTCTGGGTACAACAGAGTAGCGCTCAGTTTGGACTTTTTCATGGACATTAGTTCAGAACTGTCCCTAGGCCCTAAAACCTGACTCCTGACCAGTGTTTCTCAGCTATGAGCTGATCTGTCTTGCGTTTCCGCTCCCCGCCCCAGATCTCCTGATGACAGGACACCGCACCACGTTTACTATGCAGCATGTCATGGGTGTGCCCCGCGTGTTGGTGCGGAGCGGCCTCCTTGGAAGGGACCTCTTTATGATCAGGACCCTCTGCAGCCCCGGCCCTAGCCAGCCCAGAGAGAAAGAACCTAAGGAGGTGGCCCTGGGGCTGTACCACCGCCTCACAGCTCTGGGAAGAGCCCTGGGGCACAGCATTCGGCAGCGAGCGTCCTCCACGGCCACGACATGGTGGGACAGATATGAAGAGTTTGTCGGACTCAGTGAGGTTCGAGAGGCCCAGGGAAACGTGACTGAGGTGAGGAGGGAAGTCGGGGTGGTTGGCCCTGCCTTCTGACTTGGGAAATGTGGCCTGGAGGCTCCTGCCAAATAAATCACCAGCCACACACCACCAGCCATGCCCACATTTGCCTTTCCTTGAACAAATACTATTCATAGAGGGATTTGACTCACTTCTCACATGACAACCTGGGTTTGATAGTCCTGGGGTGAAGATCTCTGTGTAACCGTGCTCACCTACCCAAAAAACAGGTTTCTGTGTACCGATCAGTCCCCGGCCATCGACATCCATTGTGTTAGACCCGTGGACACTTCCTACGTGGGCCCTTTGGGGTCGGTGAGAGTGTTAGAGCGTCCTCAAAGCCCTGTGTGGAATTAAAACAGCCCTGGTGAAGGTAGAGGCACAGGGCCGGGGCAGCATCCTATGCTGAGCTGGAAAGAGCTCAGCCTGGGGCTGTGAAGCCCTTGGTGGCAACAGAAACGCATTCTGTCATCTCTGTTCCTGCTCCTGCCTAGCGCAGACCAGGCTAGTGAGGTGACAAGAACCTGGGGTTCGGCGGGAGGTTTTGAGGCACCGTGCTGTCCCTCCCTTTGGAGGTCGTGACCTTGGCTGAGCTGGCGTTTCTGGGTCTGTAACATGGAGGCCACAGCAATGCCGCTGATGGTATTGTTGTGAGGTGTAGCTAAGGTAATGTACGTGAACAGCTTCGGAACCTGGGTTCCTCTTTGTGGTTTGTATCAGACTAGAATTGCCTGGGTTTTGTGTACAGCATTAGCTATTTTCCAGTTTCTCAGGGGCACATTATTTCTACTTGAATGGATAAATCCGGGGATTCTGATGGGTGTGGCCTGGAGTTGCACTCTGAGGCCTGCTGGGTGAGCCAGGATTTTGTGTCTGAGGGACTCCTCTTCCACCGTTTTGCACCAAGACCCCACTCACCTCAGCCACAGCCTTGTTGGGAATGGAGCTGAGCCTGTGTGGGTGTGGAGGGAAGGGCAGACAGCCTCCATCATTCTCTCTGCAGGCAGAGAAAGTGTTCATGGTGGCTCGAGGGCTTGTCCGAGAGGCTCGGGAGGACTTGGAAGTTCACCAGGCCAAGCTGAAGGAGGTGAGGGACCGCTTGGACCGCGTCTCCAGAGAGGATAACCAGTACCTAGAACTGGCTACGCTGGAGCACCGGATGCTGCAGGTAGGCACCTTGGGAGGCAGCCTTTCCTCACTGGGGAGGTACCCTAGTCTGGGCAGGTCAGGGAGGGGCAAGGTGGGAACCCTCACTGGTCTGTGGTCAGAGGTCTGGTGCGGGAGGTAAACCAGAAGGTACACTGGGCCCCAGGCTTCCGGAGCCTATCCACCCACTTCCTCCTGGAGTTCGAAGTCCAAGGCAGTATAATCTGGGTCCCAGATTGCTGAGGAGGGAGCACCGTGGAGGAAGGACTGGCCCAGAGAGGACACATTCTGTAGTCATTATGCATGTCTCATCAGACCCAGCACTGCTTGGGTAGGAGGTAGTACAGCTCATCTTGACCCCCCCCGCCCCAATTCCTTTGCTCCCTGTCCCGACCGGGCTTACTCTCTTCATTCACCCAACGGGTTTACAGAGCATGTGGTCTGGGCCGGGCTGAGGCTGAGCCCCAGGAGCGTCTGCTCATGGCTACCGCTGCAGAGCCACGTTCCTGCTGTGTAACACAGCTTTGCTTCTGCAGGAGGAGAAGAGGCTTCGTGCAACCTATCTGCGTGCTGAAGACTCGGAGCGAGAGAAGTTCTCCCTCTTCTCTGCAGCTGTGCGGGGAAGTCACGAGAAGGAGCGCACTCGAGCTGAGAGGACCAAGAACTGGTCCCTCATTGGGTCAGTCCTGGGGGCCCTGATTGGTGTGGCTGGCTCCACCTATGTGAACCGTGTGCGGCTACAGGAGCTGAAGGCCTTGCTCTTAGAGGCACAGAAGGGGCCTGTGAGCCTCCAGGAGGCCATCCGAGAACAGGCATCCAGCTACTCCGTCCAGCAGAGGGACCTCCACGACCTCATGGTGGACCTAAGGGGCCTGATACAAGCTGGGCCAGGGCAGAGCTCTGGGGCCCGGGCAGGTGCTTCCCCCACCCGAGACAGAGACGCAGATGTCCTTTCAGCCACCTTGAAAGAGCAGCTCAGCCATTCCAGGCAGGTCCGTTCCTGTCTAGAGGGTTTACGAGAGCGGCTTGATGGCTTGGAAAAGACTTTCAGCCAAACGGCCGAGGTGGTTCAGCTTGCAAAGGCTGCAGTGCATCCGAGCCTGGTGGAGCCAGCAGATGGGGCTCTGCCTGGCTCCTTGCTGGAGCAGGGGAGCATGATCCTGGCGCTGTCGGACATGGAGCGGAGGCTAGAAGCCCAGGTCAACAGGAACACCATCTACAGCACGCTGGTCACGTCTGTGACATTTGTGGCCGCAGTGCCTGTGCTCTACATGTTGTTCAGGGCCAGCTAGCCCCTGGACCCCCCTCCAGAGGCCCTGAGGGGATAGGTGTGGCTATGGATTTAGTTAGAGAATCCCAACGATGAAGTGAGCCTTCGGGTCTGTGTGGCTCACCAGCAGGCATACTTTGCTTTGTAGAAAATGCTCACTTATATTATCAAAACTATGTGCTAATGTCCAATTAAAATGTCTTTGGGTTTGTGTTATTTAAAGTAATTTACATTAGATGGAGTTTTTCTTGTTGAAGACTGAGATTTGGGATTCGAGGGTTGGGCCTGGAATTACGGTAATCATCGTTCCCTTTAGTTCCTCTCTCACCTCCTCCGATAGTTCCTCTCTCACCTCCTCTTGGTCTTGTCCTCAGTTCAGGACCATGTTGGATGTACTTACCCTTGAGGCCTGGGTTTTTGTTTTGGATTGCCTGGCCTGGCCTCTTCTTGCCTGACCCTCCCCTGTCAGATAGCCTGGGGGTTCCAGTGAGTGGAGTATAGCCTGCACACCCACTGTTGACCATGGTTACTGCCCTGTTTCTGGATTACTTTCTTTGTCAGGGTGGGGAGAACCTTCTGGTTCTAACACTGGAGGGATGATCGGAAGAGAGCAGGGAAGAGGGATCAGGGGAATGGTTGATAAATATTGCTGGGGACATAATTACAGAGATTGGTAGCCAGTCCGGGTCCCTGTGCAGAGAAAGCTTTGGGCAGCTCCGTGTGCCCCTAGAGCTAGGTGTCCTCCCATATGCAGCCTAGGGACAGCCTGCCAGGAGGGGCAGAGCTCAGCCCATCAGCAGTGTGAACTAAATGGCAAGGATGGGGAGGGGCCTCCCAGAGGTAGGAGGTGCAGTGGGGGGCCCCGGGGATGGACTGCCTGGAAACTCCCAGCCTGTCCCTTTTCAGAGAACAGCAACCTTTGACCTGGGCTAACTGGCTATGGGTGGCCTTGTGTGTCCTTGAGTAAACAGGAACAGCCAGGAGGTACACAGTCCTCCCTGCAGGTCTGGAAAAGCCACTCCTTTCAGAGTGTGTGGAGGTATGTAGATCTGTGGGGAGGGGCTTCTGTGGGCTGGGACTTGTTTGCCTGGGCCTGTGTGGAGCCCACTTTCTGCAGGGGCCTGTGGAGCTGGTAGGGTTTCCTATGAGGTACCCTCCCTCCTCGGAACCTGTGGTCAGGCTTGGGCTGTGAATACAGCCCAAGTGGCCCACGGGTTCTGTGAGCCTCTGAGCGCCTGGTCCCTTGGTCATTTGGTCACTCCATTCTTGACCTTGTTTTCTTTGTGTCATGGTTCCTCAGGACAGCATGGGATGAAATGACCTCTGCTTGTGGGATGTTCACCCTCCTGATGGGGTAGGAGGTGCCATATCTGTGTACAGATGAGGGATGCTGTGGGGTTTGGAAGTCCCATGTCCCCCTTTGGGGTGAAGTAATTCCTAAAGGGTGTGCACTTAAGTGAATGGATTTGAGGAGGGGAGGATTCCAGGTATGTGGGAGGGCCCCCCCCCCCCCGCAGGCTGCACAGGCAGGAAAGCCAAGGGGGCTGAGGTGGTGATGGATGTGGAGGAGTGGTGGAGTACAGGTTAGAAAATGAGGTGGAGGGCCTGGGGTCTGATGCCAGAGGCCAGGAATAGGAAAATGGGAAGGGGGTGCCATGCTGGTGCACGGACCCAGGTGCTAGAAGAGGGGATGGAGGAAAGGGAGTGACCTGAGAAGTTGGTGAGAGAGAAATTGAAGGCAGAGTTGGGTAGATGAGAGTGAAGGCAGACTCTTGACTGGGGGGAGGGGGTGGCAGGTGGCAAGAGAGTGCCTGTGGTGTTGGCTCTTTGGACAGTAGCCAGTGTGGGTGACCTGGACCTTCTGGTTGAGGCTCTCCCTAGCCTGTGGAGGCTCTGGGGGCTTCCAGGGTGATATGTGTGACAAATTTTGCCTCCCAGGAGGCTATCCCTATGTGTCTTGAGCCAAAGTCCTAACAGGATGGGCCATGTCCTGGCACCTGAGTTCTCAGTGGGCAGGCCAGCCTGTGTGTGAAGGGCCCGGCAGAGGGCACAACTGGGTCTCTGCCCAGCGGTCCCTCCCTAGAAAGGCCCAGGTATTTTTGCCAGTGAGGGAGTCCAGACTTGCCCAGGGCTTCTCAGCTTAGGGTGGGTCCAGGTACAGGCCTGGGAGGAAAAGAAGTAAATGTGTCCTTGCTTGTGCACTTTGCAGCCCGCTTGCGCTCAACTTTAACAGCCGGCTAGGTGTGGTATCCCCTCTTGCCGGTGAGCAAATAGGCGTGTATGGGGCGTGGGGGTGGGGGGGCGGTCAGGTTACTAGGCTTAGGGGTGGCACAAACCCAGGCCCAACCCCAAAGCCTGTGCTCCTCTCGCACAGCTAGAGGTTGGGGCCGGAAGGAGGGGGTGGCTGTTAGGGATTCCGGAGAGTAGGGGCGGTGGGGAGAAACCAGGCGCCGAGAAGTTCAGGTAAAGAAAGTTGGAGGACGGCCACAGAAGGGAAGGAGGGAACTCGCGGCGCTGGAGCGGGGGTGGTGGCTGGCGAGCCCGCGGGGCCGGTGAGGGGAGACGGAGGCGGCCGGGCG